AAAAAGATGGTTTTTTCCTATTTGAAAGTGAGTGCTAACATCCTTGTGCATCCTTTTCTTAAGAGGCTCTTTGAATCCCTCAGAAAGGGACTCCAGTTAATGGATACACCCCAGGGAGTCTGTCCACATCTGAAACCTCCAAAAGCAGGGGTGATACAGCAGGCAGACTGTTGAGATTTGTGTTGAATGATATTGAATGTCATAATTGATTAATTTAAAAAAACCAAACAGGCAGTTGTTAGCTGTGATGATGCCCACAAATACTGTTTAACTGGTTTTGAATTGTTGCATACACAAAACTGGTTTGGAGCATTTGGAATCAAGGAAGTGAGAAGCTCTTCTGCTCCAAGAAGTTCAGAAAGCAGATGGTGCTTTTGGGAGTGGGGGAGTTGAAGATGAGTTGTTTTTTTTTCTCCTCCCAGTTTTCAAGAGAACAGAGTGATTTTTAGTCTGAGGCTTTGTCGATCTCAAAGCTCCATTTCATCCATTACTTCTGATGCATAAATTGATAGTGCTTGGGAAAAGCAAAGTAGCACCTTCTAAAACAATAACCAGCAGCCAAGTCTGTGACAATTTGTGGATATAAACTGTGGGTTGTGGAGTTGAAACCCAGCACAGTGAGAGTCTTTATTTTAGATTCTCTGCAAATTCTGTGTACAGATCTATAGCCATTGTGTTCTTATTTTAAAGTTCATCTTGAGCTTTAAATGGGAACATGAGTTGAAAAGAAAAAAATTGTGAACCAGGAAGGCTTGTGGTCATGTTCTTTTTTTTTTCTTTTTTCTTTCCTAGTGACACACTTCCATGGTGTTGTGTATCTAAGTTAAAGTGTAATCTTAAAATTAGAATTTGTCGAGTTGTAGTACTTGCTTTTTATAAAAATACAAGCTTCCAGACCTACTTTAAAGCTGTGTTGTCTCAAAATGGAAAGATACTATTTATGAGTTTTGCCCATGGTTATGTGTGTGGGATTTCCTGCTGTACACAAAAGAGAGAGGATGAATCTGCATAGAAAATAATGAAGTTAAGCAGGATTAGCTGAAGTGGGAGGTGACCTGTTTTATCTGAGTTCAACTATTATGTTATTTCCTCTACTTTCCAATAGTTTCCTTGGCATTACCACCCTTTTGGGGCAACACAGTGCAGTACTCTGGTGTTGTTGCACCAGGCTTAGATGGTGCCTTTATATTCAGGCAGTTGGTGGTTTGAATCACAGCTCCCCTGAGGCTTGGACAGTTGGAAGAGGTGGCACTTTTCACTGCTCTCTGAAGCAATGTAGAATTTGAATTCAGTTCTAGCTGTGGACTGCTCCCACATGTGATTGGAAAAAAAACATGGCAAAACTCACCATGTAGTAAGGAAAACTCTGTGGCAGCAGAAGGTTCCAGACTCTGTAGGAATAAGGAAGTTGAATGCCAGCAAGAACTCTCTCTTATCTGCCAGCATGCTGAGAATGTGGCAAGGAAGAGCTGGAGCACTCCCTGCAGAAACAGGGAACAATCTTCCATATTGTGCCTGGAAGGCTGGAAACATGTCCCCAAAATTGAGTTTATTATAGCTGTATGACACATGACTGTGTGAGGCTCAGTTTTTAGATGCCATAAATGACTGCTTTGGAGAGGCTCTCATGAGTCAGGGAGCTCATGAGAAAGGATGTAACTTCTGACTCCTGCTCTGAGCAGTGCAAAAAATGTTTACAAGAAATGTGTGGTTAGAAGTTACTCCACAGCACTGAATGTAATCACTCATGTTTGGTGTCCTCTGAGGAGTGCTGTAAAAGCCCCCCAGGCCCTACCACTTCAGTGTTCATCCAAAAAACCCACTACCCAACAACAAAGAAGCTAGAAGACAAACTTTATAAATTGAAAGAAGCTTGTTTAAGAATAGTTAATAAAACCAGAAGGGTTAAATGCTTGGAGACCATTTAAGAAGATGTATTGGAGGATCAGAGGAAGGTGTGTGAACTATTGGAGAGACTCAGAATGAGCTGACAGTTGACATAATTAGACATGAGGATGAGGGGTAAGAGGTGATAGGGATACACAATCCAAAAGTTGAAATTTTATTTGATGAGAAAAAATAGAAAGAACAAACTTTTAAGCTTGAAAATACCAATAAGGTTGACCAGAATGAGTTCAGGGACATCTGGCTGAAGGTCTAAAATGTTAAAGGAATGCTTTTCCCTCCCAAAACATCAGGGATGGGGGAAGCAAGTGGAGAGTTTTGTCAAAAGGAGAGATAACGAGGAGAGCTTTTTATGAAGGGCTCTGGAAAGGTAGGAGTGTTTAGAGGCTCACAAATGCCAGTCTTTTGCTTTTAAAGGATTATCCTTCTCATGTAAGAGTTAATACAGCAATGGTGTCATTTGTCAACAAAACACATGCCAGTCTTTGTTTTTGAATGATCATCTGGTTCCTATTGAAGGATTAATACAACAACAGTCTTATTTATCCATAAAGCACAGGAACAAATCATTAGGGTTATCTGCTCTTCATTCAGGAGTTCTAAAGAATGAAATAGCTGAGCTGTTGACTGTGGAGTGTGATGTTTAAAGTGTTGATTACAGAGATGTGTGTGTATATTTTTTTTTTTTTCCAAGGGATTCAAAGGAATGAGACCACACAGTACTTACTCTGAAGTCTCTTCCATCCTTGAGATCGGGGTTGTGCTGTAGATCAGGAACCAGCCTTTCCTGGATGATCTCATCTCCCTGACCCCCAGGAGGAAGGCTGGGTTCAGCTGGTGTGATCAGACAGGACTCGTGGTGTACGTGTGACCCTCAGGAAGTTCTGTCTTTCCTCAGCGTGGTCGATGCCCTGCCAGGAGTTTGCTGCCTGTTTGCTCTCTCTGTTGGTCTGGGGAGGAAGGGTCTGGATCCTCGGGGAACTGGAGCACTTCAGAAGTAGAGCACGTTTTTAAAAGAAGGGATTGACTTATTTTAAGGCGCTGTAAAACTGGGTTTCAGGGATTTGAAATCCAGAAGGTCGCGCTGCCAAGATGTGGAGGGTACAAGAAAGACAAAGTTGGCCATGTTTGTGAAGATGGTCTCCTCTCCCAGGTAACACAGTGACAGGACAAGAGGAAACAGCCAGAAGTTGTGCCAGGGGAGGTTTAGGTTGGATATTAGGAGTAATTTCTTCATGGAAAGGGTTGTCAAGCACTGGTACAGGCTGCTCAGGGAAGGGTGGAGTCACCATCCCTGGAGGGATTTAAAAGACATGTAGCTGTGGCACTTGGGGACATGGGTTAGTGGTGGGATTGGGAGTCTTTGGTCCATAGTTGGACTGGATGATCTTAAAGGTATTTTATCACCAAAACAAAATTCTATTTTGCGCTAATAAAGAGATCATAGGCTAGGATTTGATAAGCTGGTAGATCTCTAAGGATTAAAATTTCTGTGTAAACAAGGAAAAAAATCAGTTATTACCATTTCCATGTGGTGGTGACAGTGACTGAAGTGGAGAAGTCAAGGGCAGGGAGCAGTTTCTGGAAGGGACTTGAACCACACAACTTGAAGAAATGCAACTTTGGGGTCAAATTCTGAAATAATATTTTCAGATGTGATTAATGTCTTATGGAGCAAATGGCTGAGGAAACCACTGGAAGAAAAGTGATACAGTGGAAGAACAACAGGACACTGGCTGTAGCCTGTTGGGATTTATACCTTTACATGAACAAGAGCCCAACAGTGACTGTTCATTTCAAAGCTCAGTAACCTGAAAATATGGAAGTGTGTTGAAAACAAACTGAGCAGGGCAGCTGTGCTTTCAGGGGGTATTAAAAGAATTACAGAGCCATGCAAATTAAAAGAAACAGAAGAAACAAAATGGGTGTGTGCAGTGAGAAAGAGGAGACTTTGTGAAGGCTGGCTGTGCCTTGCTGCCCTACTGGATAGGTGTGATAGGGGCAGAATGAACAATCCAAACTTGACACAAAAAAATGTTTTCCGAGCTGTCTCTTGGAGTGCAGGGACGAGTTGTGTCCCAGTTCCATGGAAAAATCAGCTCAGTTCTCATCTGCAGTAAAATATAAATGTAATAATGGAGGAAGGGGGAGGGATAGAAACCAAAATGCACAACACTGTTACAGTGTTGTCTGTAATAATCACCGTGGGTTGGTGTTGTGAGTGATGCTGGTGCTTCTGGTTACCCCCTGCTTGTCAAGGAAGTTCCAGAACTGGAGTGTAGCAGGAGCATTAAGAGGCAGAGATGAGCTGCCATAAAAGCAGTTGAGTAGTCTGAGATTAGTTAACCTTGAGAAGAGACCTTCAGGCAGTGGGGTATGAATGAGGACTTGAAAATCCTTGAGAAATTGGACAGGGAAATGCTTTTCCTCTCTCTTCTAATTCTAAAAATGCAAGTACCAAGCAAAACTAGCTTGGGCAGGAATTGACTGGGGGGAGCTGCAGGAAGTTGCCTTTTCGAAGAGCTTACAAAGGTTCAGTAAGTGGCCAGGTTAGGATGAAAATCTGACATGGTGTGAAATACAGAAAGACCACCTTTTGCTTAGGAAATTGTGTAAAATATATGCTGAACAATGGAAGAGTGTTCTTGGAAAGTACAACTGTTTGCTCTCTCCTGGGCATCCACTACCAGCTATTCCTGGACACAGTTCAACAGACTGGACAGGCATCTGTTCTCATATATCTGCCCTTATGTATTTGTTTACTCTCATGTAATATATCACCTATATAAATAGTTTTTTTCCTGATATATGGGTAAAAACCCCTCACAAATACCAAGCCAGAAATAAGGTTGCTGACTCTTTTCTAGTCCTTCTCCTACCACTTAAGAGCTAAAGAGTAGCTGTAGTCAGAAAGCACTGACATTATATCTTGGATTCAATAAAGACTTGAGTAATGGAAAATCTTTAGTGATTTTGCCATTCTTAGATAATTTGTGTGTGGGTTGGGTTTATTTTACTGCTATATTTCTGCTGCAGGAAATCTTGTGCCTTGGCCATTTGGTGCTTGACTGATATTTTGTTTGGTTTTTTTGAAGGTACATGGGAATAGGACTTTCTGCTCAAGGGGTCAACATGAACAGGCTTCCTGGTAAGTCACTGTTAAGGTTTGTTTTGGCTTCCAGCCTGTGTTAAATGTTCAGTTGACAGAAAGATTTTAATTTATATCTATGAAGTAGTGTATGTGTGTTTCTATTAATAAAATGACAGGACTATAATTGTCTTGTGTCTGGAAGTTTCCAACTATTGAGTGTTATCCTAAACTGAGTTACTGGTATTGTCAATGCAGCCATGATGATTTTAACAGACAATAGAAATTAATACTAAACTAATGAGTAATGAGTAAGATGAGAAGCTTTCAGACAGGCAGACTCTTCTTTGCATCTGAAGGTAACCAGAAAAATAATTTTGCATTTAGTCTGTATATTCCACTTGACAAATTTACAGGAAAGAATCTGAAAATGACAGGAAAATTGGCTCGCTGTATTGTCTCTCTTCTTTCCCTCTTCCCACTGAAAAACTACAAAAATGTGATAGAGTGGTATTTCCAGTTAATACTGTTGCTTCTTTTGTTTGAAATGTGTGTTTTTAGGTTAGCCTCTAAGTTGGTTAAGTAGCTTCTTTTAAGAAATAAGTCATTGGTAATCTTTCTTTAACAATATCCAATTTATTGTGTAAAAATTTTTATTTCTAGATATGTATTGACTGTAGCAGGAATTCTTTCTGCTGTGTTTGAAACTGGAAGTTTGTGTTTGGTAGAAAGTGTAAATGTTCTTGGAATGCCAGAAAGAATGACAGGTGGTTCCCAGTGGTGGGGGCTTTTTTTTTTGGCCTTGGGTGTTACTTTTGTGGAGTTGCTTTAAAGCTGGAATCTGTGTCCAACCCTTGTTATGCATCTTGGTATCCCCAAAGGAGAATGTTTTGTGAATGTCCTAACAAAAGGCAGATGTGATAACTATCTTGGGGGAAATGGTTTCAGTGGCACCCATGTTTTAAAGAATTTGTATCTTGTTGCAAACTGTGTTTGTTAATAATTGTTGTGACAACTGCAGTGTGTACACATCAGAGGGAGAATTGAGGTCACAGGGCTTTGTCCACTTGGAACTAGACCAGGGAAGGAGGAAGGCAGGACACTGCCAGTTTCCTCAAGTGATAGTTGGTTGCAAAGAGGTAGGAAATGTCAGATTTAGAAGTCTCTTTTCAGTCCTACTCTCTCTGCACTGCCTCTCCCCCTGATCCTCCTGATCCAGGTGGGTTGTGTGCCATGCACAGGACTAAGTATGAGTCTGGTCCCATCATCTCCTCCCACAGTTGAGGTGCTTGGCTACTTGGAGAAGGGGTGATTTGCCCATTAAGGGACCATGTTCTGTTCCAGAAATGGCTCTCTGGTATGTGTAATGGCAAGATGGGTGGGGTTGTCTTGTAGACTTGGCCTGCAGGTGGCTGGTTGGATTGTGCTTAACCTGGGATTGTCCTGGGGTTGTAACACGTACACGTACAACTCAGTTAAATACTAACCTGAGATGGTGTGTACTGAGGGTCTGTGGTGTGCTGTCCTGGAATTGAACAGCCAGTGTAATTTCTTCTTTTGTTTTTCCTTAAAAATTAGCCAAACTACTTCTGATAAATGGCTTTAAAGCCCGGGAGTTACATGGGCAGTGTTTTGTGGCCAGTTTGAGTAAAGTGCCTGTACACTACTATTATTTCTAGAGTGCATGTGGCAAACGTGGAGTTCTTTTCTCTCAGTGAAATAAAGCATAAAGTGAACTTGAAACTTGAGATAGTGCTTATTTAGCAATGAATTGTACAAATGTGATCCTATGAACCTGTTGTTTGTTTGATCACATGCAGATTATGCTGCCAAGAGTCATAGTTAGGTCTATCTCCTATCAGCTGTGTAAAATTAACTGCATGGCTCTGTATTGCAGCTCAGTTATTATCTTCCTGGCTTTTGGAGAATGAGTCTGATTTTTTACTTTTTTTTTTTTTAGTATATTGTTCAAGTAACTGAAGTGAGAAACACATTTCCAGGGTTAACTGTTATCAGGTCCTTCACAGAACAGAGTAAGTGAGAGCTCACAAAGACGTGACAGACTTTGGAGTCTTGACTTGGCTTCGTGTCAAAGTGTAATTTTAACTTTCTGTGACCTGAAATCCTGCCAGGTTCGTCTCCTTAGACCCTTTCTAAGTCACTGTAACAGATTGATTTTCACTCAGTGTCCTGCCAGGGCAGTATATAACCACTACAAGTAGTGGCTTGGGAGCCCAAAGCCTGATACAGGAGCCAAAGTTGGTCCCTTTCTTGTTCCCACTTTCAGTGGCACCCTGGTAGTCCTAATTCAAAGAACAATTTTGCTGTTGGGTTCTGTCTTAAACTCCTTTTGCCTCCCCTGAGGACAAACACTTTGGCCACATCCAGTTCCAAGTCAGGTCATTTATTCTTTGTGCCAAATTTATTTTGGCTTCAGCCCAGCTGGGTGCTGGTGGGGGTAGTGCTGAGCTTTCTCTGAAGGTTCAAGTGTGAGCATTCCCTTAAACTGTTCCTCTCTGTGTTGAGAATAGAGACTGCTTTTAGTTGGAGAGTTCCCTGTCCGTGTTTGACTCAAGGTTTCTGTGGGCTGTGCTTTGAAATTCAACCAGCAGGTCTGAAATGATTGTGGAATTTTTATGGTGACTTTTGTGAGCCTGACATATCTTGATGATTTTGAAGAAAAAAACCCACTTACTAATAAACATTCCACCTTAAACTAGTGGCTTTTATTGAAATGTCTGCTCATTTCTTTCCCCAGATTACAGCTTTTTTCTCAGGTACTCAGCATTTTGGCGTTTGAGGATGAATTACATGTTGCAGCTGAACTGATCTAACTCAGCGTCACCAAAGGAGAGAACCTTGACCCTTCCCTCCCCCCTACCCCATCTGCACAGTCCCTCTTCCCTGGTGCAAGCCTTGGGCTCTGGCATTTGTCCCTTCCTTGGCCAGAGGGAGCTTTCAGGCCACACAGGAGCCTGCCTGCTCTTCTGCTGTGTTGGGGTTGTGATGGGGTGGTTAATTTACCTTTGCATCCTCCATCCTAACATCTCAAGGTCCTTCTTTTAAATTATTATTATTTTATCTATCTATCTATCTATCTATTTATTTATTTATTTTTCTGAGCCCAGCTGAAAATGTGTTGGTGGTTTGGTACAGGTTTCACCTCACCTTCATAAAACAGAGAAGATAAGTGTCCTGTCTTTAATAGGAATGAGACATACATGCTGGAGATGATTCTCCCCTGCCTGTGATGTTATGCATTGGTTCAAGTCCTTCATGCTGTTGAGAAATAACATATAATTTGTTCAAGCTCTTTGAGGGTAACCCAGCAGGAACATACAACCAGGCAGAAAGGGACGGAGGGATGAATTCCCTACTGTAGCAGCAAGGTCTTAATTCAACCTGAGATGTTGTGAAACCACACCCTTAGGCATACCCTGCTTCAGTTTCTTAAACACCATCAATAGGATCTGACCAATGACTTCGGGAGACTTTAAACACCCTCTGGTTAATAACTGACTTGCCCTGCTGTGCAGCTTTGCACTTGCTGAAGGGAGTGCCAGCTTTCACTCAACCACTCTTTGGTTTTCAGAAACCTTGATTATTGTTTCAGCTCACTTTTCAAACAAAAAGATACTGTTTGGCTTAATCACTGTCTAGCTGCTTCAAACTCTCTCTTAAAAGAACAAGCTTTCAAACTCAAGAATGTTTTATAGACTTGAATTAGTGTGCAGCCAGATAAGCCAGGAGAATTTGGTGTAGAGAAACCTGCTCCCTAGTGGGGTTTGGCTGCTGGGGCTGTGGTGCCTTAAGCCAGATCAGCAAAACCAGAAGTGGTTTGTCCAGCTGTCTTGAGTGTCTGTTCAGCAAAGAGTCCTTGTGAGTGACCTTTTTCTGTAGACAAAATGCAAATGAGTCCTGGGAATTAAGACTTCCCCATGGGCCCCTTCTCTGTGAAAGCCATCCCTCCTCCTCCATAAACCACCATGTGGGTTTTCCATTTCAGCTTCGTTTGGAGATCCCTTCCTTTCCTTTGTGTTCTTCTCGTGCCCATAGTTTTCTGTTGACATTAGTAGGTAGGACTTTATTTCTTCTCAGCTTATCTTGCATGATATCAGAGGAGATACAAGTAGGGAAGGTTGTTGAGGACTCTCTCTTCTTGTTCCTTCCTTTGAGAGAAAAAAAGTTACTTGTTTCTTCCTTAGGGTTTTTCAGGCAGGTGTGCTCCTCTCTGGGAGGAGCAACCAGAGAAGGGAGGCTGGATAGATGTTGTATCATAGAATCATAGAATATCCCAAGTTGGAAGGAACCCACAAGGATCATTGAGTCCAGTTTCTGGCCCTGCACAAATAAAATTCTCATGGGAAGATATTATTCCTCATCAGAGTTGGGGATGGGTTTCTGCAGAGGCTCTGTCCTCAGATTTTCAGACTTCAGCTGGGCAAGGCTCTTGGCAACCTGGTCTAACTCTGAAGTTAAATCTGCTACAAGAGGGAAGTTTGTCTAAAGACCTCCAGATGTTCCTTCTAGCCAGTTTTGGTTTGGGTTTGGTGTGGGATTTGTTTTTTTTTCTTTTGTTTCCTGTGATTGCCAGGGAATCTCTATTTCAAATACATTTAAAGAAGTTTTCTGGGTTGTCACTTTCTGTGACTCCACTGACAAATGAAGGGCCTGTGCTAAAGGACTTAGTCCCAGTGGTAAATGTAATAATTACAGAAGATGAGACTTCACCAAATCATCTGATCTGAAGTGAATTCAATTATGCATCAGTCCTGCCTGACAGGTGTGTGTCTAAACCAGTCTTTCATTATTTTTCTGGCAACTTCTTCCAACACTGTCCTTGTATTGGAAACTTTTCCTCATGACTAAGCTGAATATCCCATGTAGTCTAAGACCATTACTCCTGGATCATGTGGAGGTGGAGAATAATTAATTTCTTTCCTCCTTGTAGCTGTATACATGAAAACCTCTATCACTGCTTTGTGGTCTCCTCTCCCCATCAAACATCTCTGGCTCTTCACTCTGTTTGTCATGTTTTCTTGATTTGTGGCAACTTCTGT